CCTGGTATGACAAAAGATTTTCTGTACCCGAGGCCGGTTTATGTGCCGAAGGTGCCCACTAATGTCCCTCTGCACATAGTGTTGCAGGCTTTCTGTCCTTCTCCTTTCAGTAGTTCAGACTAGGAAAAACTTAACTTAATGTGTCCAGTCAGAGAACTGGACACTTATGTCCACAGAGCTGCCCTGTGGAGAAAATCAGTTCAACTTTTCTGCCTAAGAGAGGCCTTCCGGCGACCAAGTACTGTAGACTCCCTCTGACCTCCCTTCACCCCTGGGGGGCAGAGCCCACTCATCTGGTATATCCTTACAGGATATAAGTGACGCAGCGGGTTGGTCTTCCCCGCTCACTTTTGTTAGGTTCTATAACCTAGATATGGGAACCACTCCGCACTCTAGAGTGCTTTTGTTTAAGTTGTGCTTATATTATTTCACACTAGACAGGCATTCGTAAGCATGGCGGAGTGGGTATTGTCATTCCCAAAGCCTTCCGATGCAGCGCAAGTTCACTTGAAGGGGGACGTCTCTAGGTTACGTATGTAACCATGGTTTCCCGAAAGGGAACAAGACGCTGCATCGTTCTGCCATACTTACTGCATCTCTGTGAGTGCCTTGCTTCGACTTATCAGAAGCTAATGCTGTTTACACCGAATGCGCTTTTAAGCTTCCTGGTCGCTATGTCACCCCACCCATGACATCTCACCTCTCTATTGGAATGATTTCACACGTGCTTCAGGACGTGGTCACGCAGAAGCGTTCCCAAAGAATTCCAATTCAGTGTCTCGTTCCCTTTTGGGGACCCATGGTTACATACGTAACCTAGAGATTATTTATTTCTTTTTGAAAGAATGAGTTTTATTTCTAGATAAAATATGATTTCTAGATTAGATATTATTATCCTTCCTTTTATTCAGCAATGATGCATTAAATTGTCACTCAAAAGTGACAATAAAGACATTTATAATGTTACAAAAGATTTATATTTCAAATAAATGCTTTTCTTTTGAACTTTCTATTCATCAAATAATGTAAATGCACCACTCTAAGAAGCAACTTTACAATAGTAGTACTTCTGTACATGACATTGTAACAGAATTGACCTTTTAAAATCATCCCTATATTGACAAACGCAAAACATTAAAGAAAAACAAAAATAATTTCTCAAATGATAATGGTGATGCCATTATGCATCATTCATGCAATTGTTTAGTTTAGTGTAAAAATAGGATGGTAACAGGGTAACATTGACGGAATTGGCAGATTGATTTTGTAAAATGACTAACATGATGGTCTTGATGAATGATCCTGAAGTACATTACCTCTCTAAGGTAGAAAAACAGTGTGAACAAGAGTGATATACAGGAAAAGATACACCTCTATCTTTGTCTGTGTTCTGCTCTAGATCAGATGACAGATGACTTGGTATATTTCCTAGGTAGCTAAATATAGGTCAGTCCTTTCTAGCAGCATGAGAGAACAGTCACTCTCTCTCACTCGCTCTCTCTCTCTCTCTCTCTCACACACACACACACACACACACACACACACACACACTCACAGTGACTCTAGAGGACTGCTGAGCTGCACTTGCAGTTGGTTGCAGAGCAGGTGACTGGATGACGTACGCTGGATCCTTGTGAGGGAAGTTTCCACAGCAGAATACCTGATAGCAGGCACGTTGCTCCGGTGACAACGTGTGAACTGGGAAATCTCTGATGGACTCTTAAAGCGATGCTTTTTACTCACTCGGTAAACATTCAACATCTAGTTGAAAAATAATCGGTTACAAAACCGAAGCCGTTTTCAGGATTTAATATTGCTGGCTTGCTTTGTAGATATTGCATGGAGTGTAAGGTTCATGGTTACAACAGACAGGTTTACACAAGGGCCGCTTAGGGAGCATTTAATCTCTCACCCGTCAGGAGCTTGCTGCCTCCAGAAACACGACTGTTACAACTGAACATCGTAACTGTGCAGTGCTTACTAAAGAGCAAACCTTTGTCTGTCTGTACAAAGTACAGTGCGGTTCCTCTGGGTTTCAGTGTGTTATTTGCTGAGTCAGTGGCCACATTCAGTGCACCGTTTTGTTTAACCTGGGCATAGACATTCGAAGAACGAGGCAACAACAATGGCTCTGGATCACAGGTTAACTGGCAAAGAAAATAATTAGAAATCGTGTTGCATCGCAAAACCACAGGGAGATAAATTAAAATGTAATCACCATAATGACATTATGACCCCATATTATTATTAAACTGGATGATTTATAATGGCAAACTTAAAAAAAAAAAAAAAGACCCCCCAAAAAGTCCATACAATTGACAATTTTTCATTGTCTTTTTCACACAAAGCTTATATTTATGGAAGCTTGTTTGCACCCTGGGATAAAAAAATAAAAAAAAAGCTTATATTTATGGAAGCTTGTTTGCACCCTGGGATAAAAAAAAAAAAAAAAAAAAGTCAACTTTTTATTTCAAAATTGCAACTTTTTATTTCAAAATCAGGCTTTTTTTCCCCTTCATAATTCTTAGTTTGTATCTAACAATTCACACAAGGGTTTCATGTAGTTTCATTTTCATGGATTTTTAGTTTGTTTCTATTCAGTTTCCTTTTTCCTTTGTTCTAGTTCCTACAAATCCTTAGTTGTCATGGTTACAGAGTTGATGGCGTCATTCTGTTGTTTGCTCTGTGTATTTAAGTTCCTCTTGTTTCTGTTCAGTTTGTCTGGTCTCGTCAGTGTTTTAGTTGTTTAGTTTTCCTGCCTTGTTTGGATTCCCTTCAGTGTGGATTATTAAAGACTTCTGAAACTTCATCTTCTTCTTCATCTGTTTTAAACAACCAAGTTGTGACAATTGTGAGATATAAACTTAAAAATGCAAGATTTGCTCTGAATTGCTCGGGGAAAAGGAAAAGAAAAAAAAAACCATAATTGCGAGAAATTAAATCAGAGAGGGGGGAAAATTCAGTTAAAGTTCAGTTAAATTCGTAAAAATTTGTACCAAAAAAAATCTATTTTGGGGCAAACTATGCATTTAAAAGTCAAACAACAGAGGACCCAAGAGCTTTCTGAAGGTGAACATTGGTTTGAATCTCCTTCTGAAGGTTTTCACATTCATTAGACAACCATATGTCAAGGAAATAAAGAATTACTTATCATCCTGGTCAGGACTTTGCATCAATCACATGGTGAGTGCAAAAGGTGCTGTAATCTATATCAGTAACCTTCATAAGGATGTTTCGTAAGTAAATTGTTCCTGTAAATCTTATAATCTAACAAGCATGTGTTATTAACCCTGGGATTCAGTTTACTCTCAGTTTCATTTTTGTGCTGTTGTAAAACAATGTCTGGATCAGTAATTTGGTACTCAATATAGACAGTGCAGACAAAACATGGTCCTGTTTTTATACATTTCACTCTCATTTGCATATGTCTACATTAAGTTATATGCATTGTTATTGTTGATATTGGTTTCCTATTGACACTGTCACCAATCTGAAAAACTGTAGATGGCTTTTATAGAACGAACAACAAAAGATAGACAAAGAGAGAAAGATTTAGTATCTTCTTCTGATTGTGCAAATATTTAACAGTCCAGTCCAAGATGAGTATAATTGATGTATAAATATTCACAATAATGAGAAGTAAAGATTTTTGAAACAATTTTAGGAATAAGTCCTAAAACCGCAGGCCTCATTTCTAAAATGTGACATGACATGAAGTGACGTGACATGTGGCCAAGTATGGTGACCCATACTCGGAATTAGTGCTCTGCATTTACCCATCCAAAGTGCACACACACACCGTGAACACACACACCCGGAGCAGTGGGCAGCCATTTATGCTGCGGCGCCCGGGGAGCAGTTGGGGGTTCGGTGCCTTGCTCAAGGGCACCTCAGTCGTGGTATTGAAGGTGGGAGAGAGCGCTGTACATTCACTCCCCCCACCTACAATCCCTGCCGGTACGAGACTCGAACCCACAACCTTTGGGTTACGAGACCGACTCTCTAACCATTAGGCCACAACTTCCTAAGTTGCTAACTTCCTATTAGGCCACATCAATCCCTGCCGGTACGAGACCGACTCTCTAACCATTAGGCCACAGCTTCCCTAATGTGCATAGGATCTTAGAATGTGCATAAGCTAAAAATCAATGCTCGGATTTATAAAAACGGTCTTTGATGTGCAAAAGTGCTTAGCGCCACGTCAGGTTCTAAGCAGGCATATGCACTTTTCCTTGTGGCAGAGACGGAGTACTGGAGGTATTTGGAAATCTAGAGCATTCATCTGTGAACAATTTCAGGATCGTTTCACATCTTATGCACATTTTTTTTAATGTGTACATTCGTTTCTCTGAATCACAAGTGCGCACATTTGAGAAATGATCTTAGATCAAATGTAGGACGATTTCTATGCAACATTTTATAAATGAGGCCCCTGGAAACCAGTTAGCATTTTTGAATTTGTAGTTCCATTACCCCAAAGTCAATGTATTTTTTTTAATGGGTTTTTGGTTAAATGCCTGAAATAAGGTCTGTGGTGAAGCTCAAGATATTTTCACGTTTTATTCTACAACATAAAATGCATAATTTATTATTATTATTATTATTATTATTTTATAATTAAATTGCATCAATAATTTTAAAATTGTTTACATATCTTGAAAAAGGTGGTTGCTAACAAGTAGCGAAATGGGACTACAGAGGCTGTCGGGGGATGTTAAAAGTCCTCAGCCTACTCTTTAAAAAAACATTTAAAAAAAAATAATAATAATTAAAAAACAAATGTTTTAACAGTACAGTACCGGGTCAGAATGACCTAGGGGTGTGTAAATGATGGTAAGGCTCCACAGAGCTTTGAGAAAAAAATAAATAAAAATTATGATGTGAGCACAGTCATGGTTTATATGTAATTTCCATGTATATTTCATCTCAATATCCTAAGTGAAAGTGAAATTTTAGCCTATTAGCCTAAAGCTTTTTATGGAATATGTGATAGTACAGGCATTGTCTTTATTGCTTTACAGCGACTAGTCTTAATGTGCCATTTGCAGTTATTTCTGCAGATGCTTTGTTGTATACAGTGAGTGTATATGGGGATAATTCTTTTTTTTTTCTTTTTCTTTTCTTTTATAAATATACAATGTCAGTGCATGCGCCTGCATTTGTGGACTGACAAAAACCGCACACTCACCAAACATAAATCCATTTTTGCTTTAATAAAAAACAATATCATTTGAAAATAAATATGTTTAATAGTTATACTAAAAACACAAAAGGATGTTAATATTTAACAGCACCAATAAATATATTACTGTGAAAATATACTGAAAATGTGGCTGTACATGGCAAACAAACAAACAAACAAATAACTCATTTCTGGCACTTTCACGCAAAAAGAATGTTTGTTTTTCGATCACAAATCCTCGTCCGCAGGTTTTGTGTCTCCACCAAACTGATCGCTGATACAAAAACGTTCAAATGAACTAAAAAAGGCGCTTTCAGGAATGTTGAAGTGTTTGTCTCTCTTTTGTCTTTCGTTCTATAAAAGCCGTCCACAGTTTTTCAGATTGGTGACGATGTCGATAGGAAACAAAGCGAAACAATATCAACAATAACACTGCATATAAATAGATCAAATTAAATACACAGAATACTGAACATATTCTAACATTATAAATTAGATGTAGTGAACTACACAAAGGGATATTAGATATGTATATACAGATATTGTGTGATAATGAACAGCTCCTAAAGTCATGTGCAGTATTCTCTTTGGAAAACGTTACGGACCTTAAATAGTTGAGTTTTCTTTTACTACTGCGGTGAACGGAACGAGTTTGTTCCTTAGCAAAAGTCAGAATTTGCATTTTGTCACATTTATCGTTTTTTTTTATTTCCATGTATACATACATGTAATATCCCTTTAGTATTATCACACCAAGTCCTATTGGATGTTAGTCAGTACAGGTGTCTTTTTGACTAAGACTTCATCCTAGTAAGAGTGACATCACAGAAAGAGATAGTTCGGCATTTGTATCCCATGCCTGGACCCAGAAAGAATCGCTATTATGTCACTTCCTCTCCTTTGATTGACAGTCTGTAACTATTCATATAAAGGGTTGGAGGTTGTCATGGACATTCGTTCCGAGTCTTTAAATATGAATCCACAGCGGGCCGATCCAGTGAAGCTTTACCTCACTGCGTTCTGTCCAATCACAGGCCCAGGTGCAGTGACACTGAAATATATCCCATTCACACGCCAAGCAGCGTCTTCGTTTACTTGTTTGTAGGTGATAGCAGCGACACACATTGTCATTTAATATATATATAATATATATATATTCTATATATTCATATATTAATATCTTAAAAATAGACATTGGGATGGTATCTCCTGCCCTCGTTTCATTCTCTGTCTTTCGTTCAGGGTAGTGTTTACAGTTCATCCAGGGAATGCATCCTCAGGTTTAAAAGTGCTGTGCCGTAAAAAATAAAATAAAATCCTTCATTCAGTGTTCTTCCCAGCGCTCCGCTCATCATCTTGGTTTTTCACATCTGAAAGAGAACAATGGATTGGTTAGAGATCTGCTTGAGATATAAGTCAAGATTCACTTATTGATCTGTGTTTCAGCTACCCAACCAATCAGAGTTAAGCCTGTTTACCCACACTTCTGCGTTTACAATGGAAAACTGGTGCTCACATTGAAAAATACGCTGACTACTGCCTGATTTATTTTTTTAAGTAGCATTTGAAACAGTCTTATGCTGGGTTCAATATTTCAACGGTGGTACCCTTGTGAAAAAAAAGGAAATATTCTATTTAAAATAATGAACTTTAATATACTTTAAAAGTATAGTAATTTAATTATACTTAAGTGTGAAATGTAATGTTTTCAGACATTTAATTGCATGTTAAGTGAAAATGTGTTATAGTTAAATTATATTTTTTTGACCCACTTAATTAGGACTTAAGTGCATCTTTATGTAATTTCATAATTACTTCTGTTGTCTTTGAAATATGGTTAAAGTGTTAATGCTGAATGTAGTGACAAGCATTTATGATAAACTAAAATATACTTTAATGTAATTTCTGTTGCATCTTGTGTCATGTATTAAAACATATTTGTGATTACACATTTACAACACATATAACATATATTAATTAAATATAAATGTAATACAGAATAACACTGCAGTTAAAGTACTTTACATGTGCTTTATGTAACATACATGTTAGTTAACACATCAAAATAAGTGTACTTTTTTAAAAGCACAACAAAAGATTATTAAAACATAATGATATTTAAAACGTTTATTTTGACATTTTTAAAGAGTGCACTTTTTAAAAGTGTGTTTAAATGTGTTACGACACGCTTAAGTAAGTCACTTAAGTGGCCTTTTATTTCAATAATATCTGCAAGTACAGTTTTTTCTACTTTTAAGATTTACTTAAGTGCATTTCTGACAGTCTGAACAAAAACATTGCATTGTATTGTGGTTATGCAATTATGTAAAAATGTTCAGAGGTTGGTTGGACTTTTGGATGGGTTAAAATGTGGTTAGGGTGGAATGACCACAGGATCAAAGTATGCTGTGATCTCCACAAAACATAACAATAACTTTTGGACAACAAATACAGAATGCTAACATATGATCACACAGTTTAAATTAGTGTGACAGTTGATGAGAAGCAAGCCGCATGGACACACTTATATATTCACATACATAATTAAAAAAAAAATCTCATATTAGGTATCTGAAACATGAACAGCTAACAGCATGATTTTCACACGTGATGGCAAAATCAATAATACCAAACTGAATTCTGACCCATTATGAACATAAAATGACAAGATGAAAAAAGAATTTCTAATAAAAGGATGTGTGAGTTGCACTTCACAAGCACACACATATGCAGCATCCCTGCCTGTTTATACTCAAAAACACAAAATCATATTGCTTGCTGACAGAATACCAGCAAAGTCAGTTCGGGTACACTATTAATAATTTCTATGCTCAACACCAAAGTGTTGGCGCTACAAAACATGTCATTGTAAGTGCACAGCGGTAATGCACCAGATTCTGACATCAAATGTTGTATCTCATGGCAAATACTCCACATACACACACACACACACTACGCCAACATGCATATATAGAAGGGAAAATGCAATAAGCGCTATAAGCATGCATATTTCAGAGCTTCAGATGGGACTGGATGAGAAGATGCATGTTGCACGTGGTGACAGTTCATAAACAAACCTGCAAGTTCTTTCATTTAACTCAAGTTGTCTGGCCTTGCATTGCAATTGTGTGAATTTGCAGGAACATTTACAGGTGAGGGGGTCCTGCACATACAAGCGCTTTCGTCTCTCTGAGCAAGGCTCACAGTGGCTGCAAGGGAAGCAGAAGGGAGAGACAGAGAGACATCTAAGCACTAGTGATTTGGGCAGCGAGCTGGAGACACACACACTCATGCACCTCACCATCACACACCACCTCTATTCATTGCATAAATGTGGGTCCTTTTTTGCTTCGTTTTGAACATGGGTAGCATTAGTGGCAGATTGTGTGTGATGAGAGTGAATTATGACCTCATTCATTCATCAGTGAGCACACATGAGACACGGTGATTAGCTGCAACACTGAAATCAGACAGGAACAGTTATTGGACTGACAGACAACTGCATTCACATACACACATTCACTTATACACGAATGAAAGCAGTATGACGCAAAAGCAAAGTCTGCTAAAGTGGTTTGTTCAACTACAGAAACTTGACTCAGTTTAGAAGCACAATTTTGAATCATTTCTAGAATGGTTTCATAGACACATTATCTGTTGTAAAATTTGAATTTCTTAATTGTAATTGCACCGACACTGGAAAAAACAACAACAACAACAACTTTGTACTAACAGATACTAATGTTACAGGCACATTTATAATTTTTTTCTCAAACTGTATTTATTTAAAATTTGATTTAATATAAATAAAAATATATATTTATTACCCCAAACACAAAAACATTCACACAAATTAAAGTATTTATTATAAAGACCATAACATGCTTAATCAATATACTCTCTTTAGACATAAGCCAAAATGTTACTTAATGTAGGTCAATATAATAAAACATAATAAACAAAAAGCAAAATCAGCTGTAATATGAAAGTAAAATTTAAATCTAAACACATTTTGTTAGTCAATGTTTAATTTAGTTTACTTAACATAAAGGCAATTTTGAAAGACCTTGATTTTTATTGTGATGTCATTTTAAAATGTGCATCATATTTTCTTTCATTCACACAAAAATAAATGAAATTAAAAATATAGTCAGTATGTGTGCTGCACATCAACACACACAAAATACTATTTTTATTGTTTCTTTTCTTTCTTTCTTCTATTTTTTATTTCTATGGGGAGTGTTATTTGCCTTAGACTGAACAAAGAGGTTTAAACCAGATTTTCAATTAGATCAATATAAAAATGCACTTTAAATAAATGACAGTCATTTCACTGTTTTCAGTGTAGTAAAGACGAGCCCGTCTACAAAGAAAGAGATTCAAGCTGCTGTTGTCAGAAACATCAATGGGGCTGAAATACGAGTGAGGGAACACATGAGCATGGCGTCATCCCAGATGTGTGGTGGCACATTAGTACGATAATGACAGAGACAGCCATGCAACTTCTGTTTATTTACCTTTGGTTGCATTCCTGGGCCAACAGTGTGAATTTGAATACAAATAAATGCAGACTGAGGCTTTAAGCCGACAGGACAAGTGCGATTACAAAGAGCAAACAATCTGTCCTGAAATAAAGCCAATGACTGAGAGCAAAATACTGCTTGAGCGCAGGTGAGCCGAGGCGCTGAGATCGCCCGAATCTCCCTCTCTCGCTCTCTTTCGGCTTTTAACCCTCCCCACTCTGGGTTTTCTGCAAAACAGGAAAATAACGCAAGAAAAGGACATCTAAATGAAGCTGCGGACAGTCATGCTGAGAAAGATCAATCAGCAGTAGGGATGTCAAAAGTGCTTTGATACTAAAAAAAAATAAAATAAATACATTTTTAATTAATAGTTCATTTAAATTTCGTATAAAAATACTATTTTGATATTTACCTACACTACCGTTCAAGTATTTTTTAATGCTGTTCTTTTCAACTTTCTATCACGGTTTCCACAAAAATATGAAGCAGCACAAGTGTTTTCAACATTGATAATAATCAGAAATGTTTCTTGAGCAGCAAATCAGCATATTAGAATGACTTCTGAAGATCATGTGACACTGAAGACTGGAGTAATGATGCTGAAAATTCAGCTTTGATCACAATAAATTACATTTTAATGCACATCCACATAGAAAACACTTATTTTAAATTGTAATAATATTTCAGAATATTACTGTTTTTACTGTATTTTGTGATCAAATAAATGCAGCCATGTTGAGCAGAAACATTAAGAAATCTTGAGAACTGTTTTGAACCTAATTTGTTTATATTTATATTAATATTTAGCATTTTAAATAAAGTAATACTCACAGTCAATATTAACCTTTGCTGTGATTTTTTTAATTTTTAATTTTTTTTTGCTCAAAAATTGTACTGTGAATCGTGAAATTCCACTGGTATTAGTATAGAGTACTGAAATTTTCCTGATGTGACAAACCTAATTAAAGCGAGGAGCAGCACGTCACAGACGGTGAGGAATCAACGGCAGACTCTACAGTCCAAATAAGCAGCTGAAGGATCTGAGCCGTAGCATGTGTATGTGTGTGTGTGTGTGTGTGTGTTTGAGTAGCTTAGAGGTAAGGATCGAAGTACAAGGAGTTGAACTTGAGCTTGTGAATCAGAAGCGAGAGTCGCTGGGCTCCCCGCCCCCAGCGTGAGCGCTTGCCTACGTGCTGAGAGAGACGACATGCAGAGAGCCGGCGCTTAGCCCCATGACCAACGGATTTCATTTAGCCCTCTCAGCTAACCCCATCCATCTATGTACGCTCGCATTAACCTATAGGTGCAGAAACGCACACGGCCGCCGCTCATCCAATTAAACCGGGAACATTCCTTGACCTGAACCTACCGCATTTTGATCTGAATGTTTACCATTAGATAAAATATCGGAGCAAAAAGATGCTGCAGGAGCTTTTATCAACATTGACTTCACTTTTCTGAGCCATTTTTGTAATGACATTTGACCAACTGGTTTCAAGGCAGTTTTTAGTGGATGCACGAAAAGTGTTAAAAAAAAAGTATTTTCCACGACATTCTAATTTATTGAGATGCACCTGTATTTTCCTTAAAATAACAGCCATTTGATTTGATATTTCTGTTATGTGCACTGCAATTCTACTATTTTACTCATAAAATGAGTATTTCTTGGTATAAATCAATGCATTTGGGTTTATTCAGCAATATCAAATCATATTTTTGACCAGTTTAACCAAACAGTTGCTGGTCCCTATTGACTTCCATAATATGGAAAACAATACTATGGAGGTCAACTTGAGACACAATAGCACTAAATGAGGTTTGTGAAACAGCTCACAGCAACCAACAATAACCTCTGTCTCAGGATCACCTACTATTTAAAAGGCTAAAAATAAAAGCGGGTTAACGACAGACACTTGTTACTATGCATGATTAGTGTGGGGAAGTTGTAAAGCAATTTGTGAATGACGTGGACTGCAATTCCGCAAGTATCTGTCATTTTTTCCATGGGCACAGATTCAGTATTTAGCACATGCTTTAATCCAAAATGACTTGCATAATTACTATTTCTTTATGAGACTGCCATGTTCAGCAGATGGCAAGCACTAAATTATGAATGGTTACCTGCCAGAAATAGAGATGTACTAGCTATAAAAAGACGTCCAACACAAATAAAAGGAAAAGCAGGTTTTGTTTTGGGTGTTGTGTCATGATTGAGTCGTGTTGAAAGCAGTGAGTCTTGAGTTTGCGCCTGAGGATTAGGAGGGATTCGGCTGTTGTAACATTTAGTGGAAGCTGATTTGACTGTATGGGTGTGAGAACAGTCAAGTGTTTCACTTAGCTTTGTTGTAGGGAAACAGGGTTGAGGGTGTGTCGAGGCGTGCTGTGGGAGTCATGACGGCTGTGGTCGTAAACCGGGCGATGTATTGAATTCTCACAATATATTTGCAAAATTAGCAGACAATTAAGCATCATCATGAATAGTACCATGCTTTTTAATGCACTGTTCATGTGTACACACTCACAGTTCTCTCTGTTAATTTCATATTTGTTTTTATTTAATATGTAGTTATTTATTTCTTCATAATGCTTGCACAACGCTTGTTAACTGTTAGTAATCAGTGGCGATAGTGATCCAGTAGAGGGAGTGCTGAAGGTTTTTTATTACGTTTGTATTTATTCAGCTGAAATTAAATGTTACTTTTTTATTCATTTATTTTTTAATGGTTTATTTTATTTCAGTTAATGTGATTCTATTTTAAGTCATGAAAATGCTGCAGATCGATGGCACTGGAGAAGTGGGCACATTTGATCTTAAGAATATATTTATTTTGGGCATTTTTAATTAATAAGGACAGTGGCCAGATGACTTTAAAACGTTGTGAGCTGGATTTCCTGGAACTTTATATTTGGAATTACATATAAGTGAAAATAAAGTAAACTCAGAGTGCCGTGTGTTTACAAAGTGAGCTGCGCTGGCGCTGTGGACATCTGAGTTCATTTAGAGTGCTCTCATACAAGGCAAACTTCTTGTGAACCACCCTAAAACTAGTGTTGAACAATAAGCAAATGGGATGCACCAGTTATGACAAAGCAAGCAGCATGAATCTGGCAATGATGAAGATATGCATACTTTCATTTCTCACCCACATCATCTCAGCTGTCATTCGTTCCATTCACATACAGACAACAAAGACTGCTAAAGCTTTACCTACTGTGAGTCACGTACATAATATAAACACTAACCCACTGACAAATCAAATCTGAATGACTAGCTCCTACTGGAACACATTCCTAAAAGTGCGTTATGCTCTCAATTTGATTGGTCAATTCAGGCGAGCAGCTAGAGATACGCTGCATCTTCGGCACTTGAGCTTTACTGCTAGTCAGATTGCTAAGTCCTAACTGTGCTAACATAGTGTCCAGCTGGCTGCTTCTCATCGCCGTTCAATCAACCCAGTCAATGCAATTTTTTGCCGCGTGTTTAGAAACGCCCTGCACCATAGAACCGTCCACACTGTCAACAAATGAATCTTAACCAAATCCCACAATGTCCCAGATGAAAAATGGACGAACTGACTGTTTCAGAAACATCTGTTATCTTTAAAATCACCCAAAAGCTTGACATAGGAAATAATCATAATATAATAAAACTCAACTTACTTTTCTTTCTTTGATTTGACTTCTTCCTTTTGCCTATAAAAGACAGATGCAACAGAGGTTTAATTCACATTTCATGATTTAAAGGAGCAGTTCACTCAAAATGAATATCATGTCACTAATTACTCATCCTTGGTGTTACTTTTTCTCTGGAACACAAACATAATTTTGGAAGAATCTTCAAGCAGATCTTTAACACAACACCATATTTCCAAGCAAATACAGTGCCATTATATATGTCGCAACAGATTTGATGCCAATTAAATTTGATCACGATAACTTACAATGTTTAATGTAACTGAAGTCCAACATGTGCCATAGGCACCTTTGATTTAAAATCTCCAGAACAAGGGAAGACTGTCATAAAATAATGACTTAAACTTTGGTCTGTTCCTCACACAAAGGTATAATTTGATTGCAGAAAACTTAGAATATAGTGTGCCAGTCCAATAGAGTGTATTGAATTATTGAAGATTTTATGCTTCCACAGAACAAACAACAGCATAGTTAATGATAAGCACGAATGGCACGATTTGCATTTTGCAATGAGCTATTTCTTGAAGATGCATTTAATCTTAGTTTTAGAGACGTACCTGCATTCACACTTGGTGTGTTCTGTGAAACTCAGTTGAAAATTATGCTGTGATACACGATGTTTGACTCGCAGTACCTACAGGAATACACAAAAAAAGCACATTTAGTGTGAGAGCATGTATTCATGCACTATATGACTGTATTTTATCATTTTTATTTTAGTTTACACTGTTGAATGAATAACAAGACCAGGCCTCAACTGTGGCCAAGAGCAACTTCAGCCACATAAACGGGGCATAAACACAGTGTGCAGCGGTAAACAACATAGCTGACATGCCAGTTAACACCGCCTCGCTGTCCCCATGTTGGGCAAGCATGAAGTCATAGGAAGCAGGGTGAAGGACTGCACGTGCTGGATTGAACCAGTCTCACCTCCATGGTGACGTTGCGGGTCTCTGTAGGGACACACTCGAGCGCTTCGTCATTGCAGCAGCCTGCACAGCGCATGAGAACCACACAGGACGGGATGTACGTGTGCTCGATCTCGTCAGGATACTCCCGAATGATGTCTACCAGCATCTCTCGAGTCTTACACGCACTTTTTTTATACACATCCATGAAGGGAATCACTAAAGAGGAAGCAAAGCGAGAAAGTTCAGTCACTATCATACCTTTTTTTTTTTTTTTTGGTCAAATTAAAGGTACAGTTCGCGTAAAGTTTTATCATTATTTTCTTACCGTCATGCCATTCCAAACCTGTGTGTTCTTATTTATTTATTTTTCTGTGAAACGCAAAAAGAGAATTTTTGAAGAATCTTCATGCAGCTCTTTTCCATGTTCATAATGACCATGACTGAGTCTGTCCCTCACACAAAGCTATCATACGACTTCAGAAGTCTTGACCCTTGTGAAAAAATAAGTGCAATTAATTGTATTGAATGTGCACTTGTAGTGTACACATCTTAAAATAGTGTTTTCAAACTGTATGTTTAGGCATCATATAATAAATATATAATATGAATTAAATAAAAGGCAACTTTCATGAAAGTGCACTTTGTAATTATGTCACATTAAAAGTTTAACTTGGAAGTACATTTTAAATCATTGTTTTATCAATCTTTTGTTGTGCTTAAAGGAAGTACACTTATTTTGATGTGTTGACTAATATACTAAACCATATGTAAAGTACTTGATTATGCTTTTAACTTTAATGTGTTATTTAATATAACATTTAAAGTTACTATATTTTTATTTTACTAAATTGCAACTTATACTTTTATACTTTTTATAGCCAGCAGTCATGGTAACTATGAAAAGAGTGGTGTGAAGATTCTTCTCCTTTTGTGTTCCACGGTCAAAATAACAGCATACAGGTTTGGAATAAAATTAGAGTGAGTAAATAATTTCCTTTTTTTTTTTTTTTTTTGTGCAAAAACATTTCCTGAGCAAGGCCCACCATTAAAGCAATCCGTGGCATAACACCTCACACAGGCCTGTTCTGCTCACTGGGGACTTCACTTTCCCAAGTGGGAATAAAAAAAAATGTTGAGGCACACACACCAGCACATGTGCCCCACTTGCACATCCACCCTAATCTGTAAACCTCCCTAAACTGGCTTCCCATCATTCATTCTGATCACGTGCCTCATGACCCGCAGACTGCCAGGGAAAAGCATGACCTCAGGCAGTGTGGCGCCAGGCTTCACTGCAGACACCTGACCTCCATGAGAAGCCCACCCTCCCTGACACTCCCTGCCACCCATGAATCTGTCAGTGCCCCAGAGCCATGCAAGAAAACCAAACACAACTGTATTCATGATGCTGATCATGATAAAGTCAGTAACTGCTAGTAATCAATTGGTGGTACCAGCCACATTTCACCCAGTGCCCTATCATGGCACTTCTTCGTTTATGGCCATGATGTTTGTATCTCATATCTTTATTTAGCAAAGTGCAAAGTCAAATATAAACGGACTGACTACTACTAACCAAGATTCAATATGTGCATTTAATGCAAAGCAAAACCGTCTAGCATAGGAGCTCTACATTGTGGGAAAGCATTTATGAATGGAAGCAGATTGGGAATGACGTAAAAATAACAATACACGTTCCCCCAGAAACGTAACAGGGACTCTATACAAACAACCAGGTCCACTGCGAACAAATAATTGTGACCTTGAGGGCAAATCAGGAATAAATCACGCAATATTTGTTAATAAACAAACACAGCCATGGTCAATGACTCCACACAAGGTTGCTTGCGGGTAGAATAAATTATTCACTTTGACGATCCTAATGAGGGTGGGAAATATGCCCTGACTCCTAATCTTGAGTGCCCAAGCAAATATGTATGTAAGTTCAGGCTCAGTGTGATATTAAACTGATTTAGGAGAAACAGTGCTGCGTAACAAAAGATAACTGGAAACATACAGCATTGGATGGACTATATAGGCCTATTACCTGCCTCAGGACTGGAATAAAACCATTTGCAGTTTAATCTTTGCCTTAAGAATGTCATTACATGTATGTCCTCCAGGTGGTGCTGGACTCTTAGCCCCATTTCCAAAACATTTTTCATATCATACATACTTCAACATTTATGAACACTGCACATAAAAAGAGACTTACCCTCATTTTTGCTCTTGCCCCCTTCTTTGGGTATGTGGGCAGCCT